AGCGCATCATAGTATAACGCAGCATAATATAGCATAGCATAGCATAGTATAGCGCAGCATTGCATATCATAGCATAGCATAGCATAACTTAGCTCAGCATAGCACAGCGCAGCATAGCATAGCGCAGCATAGCATAGCATAGCATATAATAACATAGCATAGCATAGCGCAGCATAGCATAGCATAGCATACCATAGCGCAGCATCGCATAGTATAGCATAGCATAGCGCAGCATAGCATGTCATATCATAGCATCGCGCAGCATATCATATCATCACATAGCCTAGCATAGCATAGCATAGCGCAGCATACCATATCACAGCATAGCGCAGCATAGCATAGCATAGCATAGCATAGCATAGCATAGCGCAGCATAGCATAGCATAGCATAGCCTAGCATAACGCAGCGCAGCCGAGCGTACCCTAGCATAGCATAGCGCAGCATAGCGCAGCATAGCGCAGCATAGCGCAGCACAGCAAAGCATCTTATAGCATAGCATAGCATAGCATAGCTCAAACTTCTTATAGTACATCATAGCATCGCATAGCATAGCATAGCAGCAAAGCAAAGGAAAAGCAACAGCAGCAACAACAAAGCAACGCACAAGCAACGCAAAGCCAGACCTGCAGTGCTGAACAGCCTGCAGCTCTTGCAGGAGCCGCGAGCAGTGCTGAACAGCCTGCAGCTCTTGCAGGCTTGCATAGATGCAGGTGCAGATGTGAATGTAGCTGTCGGTGTAGATGTAGATGTTGCTTTCCTAGATGCTCCAACTCCTAGGTAGGGTCGCACTGGGATAATTTGGCTGATCGCGAGTGTTCGGGGTGGTCTCGCTGGGTTTGGGGGGGGATCTGGTGGGGCCCTCCTCGAGGTGGAGGCGATCCCCCTGATGCTGGTGGCCCCCTTGGCATGGCCTTGGGCGTGGACCGGCGTGGCCAGCGACCGTCCTCTAAGAGCACTCGTGCCCAGGCGGGGCCGCTCAGTCTTCACAGGGCAGTAGAGCGCATCCGGTGGTTGTCGGCCTCGGTGCGACGAGTTCGTCGGGATCGGCAACGTGGGCTCCGCGGGCACCGATCGGCGCAACATCGTGAGGCGCCCTGGGGCGCCAGGCGCTCCCCGACCATCTGCGGGCGCGAGCTCTCGCAGGGCTCGCCCTGCAGGTTCGGCTCCAGAGTGGGTGGTGCAGCCACGACGCTGGAAGAAGGACCACTCCGGGTTCGGGAGGAGCTCTGGTTGTCGGACTGCTCCTCAGCTCCAGGCCAGGGAGCCCGTTCGTGGCCGAGGCACGCCGTGGTCTGCAGCGTCCGTTCGTTCTTGGTTCAGCCTTCCACGTGGTGGCACGACGACTGCAGATCATGAGCGGACAACTAGCACCCATACCCGTGCGACCCCCAGATATCGTGGGGTGGAATTCCCGGGGGGGGGGGCTGTGGGTGCGTGTTGTCGGATGGGAGTCCCAACTCAAACGGGAGCCCCCCTCGGGGTCCGACATCTCACACCCATACCTATAGCGCTATAGCGCCTCCAATTGCCCTTCCGCATGCCTCTTTCCTCTATGCCTGAGCCCGTGCTGTCCTATCACCATGCAGAGGGCAGTCTCGGGGCTGGTCGTGGCATGGTGGCACGGCAGCTGCGGAGGGCAGCCTCGGGGCCCTGCTCCCGCCTTGGGAGCTCGCTTGTCGGGGGTCGCGCGGTCGCCCTCCGCCACGCCCAGCCGGGCGTTGTGCCCGGTCCGCCGACGCAGTGGGTCGACGGCGATCAGAGGACGAGCAGGTACCAGTACCGCTAACCGTCACGAGGCCTAGAAGGCCCGGGAGCCCAAATTCGATGAAAAGCCAGAGACACCTTGGCCCAGAGGCACCTGTAGCAGTTCCCGGGCTCTGGCGGCTGGCGCCTGCTGCGGGGGGGCCGCGGCTGGCACGCCGCCCTGGCCCCGGCGGCGCCAGCAGGGGTGCTCGTTTTTGTCTTTTTGGGCCTTCTTGGAGGGCCCTCGTCGCCACCGCTGTGTTCGCCCCAGAATTCTGGTCGGAGCGCATCCCGGGGGAGGTCTGGGGAGTAGCGGTGTCGGTACCCTCTGCTTTCCCCAGTCGAGGAGGCGGCACGCTCAGGTGGAGGAGCGCACGCGCAGGCTGTGAGCCCCTGTCCCACGGTGTTAATTGATTTTGGGCCCTCGGCTCTGGTTCGGCTCTGATTCGGCCTGGGCTCGAGCTCGGCTCTAGCTCTCGGCTCAAGCTCGACTCGAGTTCGGCTCCAGTCGGACTCGGGTCGACGGACGCTCGACGCAGCATCGGCGCATGAGGAGTATCACCTGCCTACACCACGAGGCCGCCTTAGACGCCGTTCTGACGTGGAGGGTTCCGCCTCTCTCTCTCTCTCTCTTTCTCTTTGTTTTTTTTGTTATCCCTCTCTTTCTCTCTCTTTTTTTCTATCTTTCTCTCTCTCTCTCCAGGTGGCACTGTCGAGATCGCCCCCCAGTGGCGGGGTGCGGCGGTCGCTCGGCTTGGCCGCTCTTTGAGTCGATGCGGCAGATCGGTCCGGGGGCGATCAGTCCTGGACGTGGGGTGGTGTCGGGCTCCTCAAACTCCGGGCGACGCCCCGATGTAGATTCGCGTCCCCGTCCTGAGATTGGCTCCCACCCAAGGGATTGATGCACCGCCCGTGATCTTGGTCATTCCGATATCAAGCCTCCTCCTCGTCTTTGTCCTCGCATTTATCCTCTCTCACTCCTCCCCCTCATCTCTTCCCTTCTCCCTCGTTGTTGTCCTACTAGTGCCGTTCCTCCTGCCCAGTCGATCGATTGGGATATGGGCTACCGACGTGGCTCTCAATCGCGCTTTGTGCTTCGCAATGGGGTCTGTCCAGGATGGGTTGATATCGAGATCCAAGGCAGTGGAATTCAGTTGAAGGAAGGGGAAGGGGCGAGGGGGAGGAGAGGTGGGGAGGAGGAGGAGCAGCAGGAGGAGAGGATGGAGGAGGAGATTGGACGACGTAGTGATGTTGTAAAGAGCCTTCCGATAATGAGTAATTAGAAGAGGGGGAGGATAGGGTGAAGGAGATGCCAAAAAAAGGATAATGCATTATCTAGGAGCGAGCCGAAGGAGAGGAATCATCATTATGAAGAGGCAGCTTAAGAGGGAGGAGGAGTCAGGAGGATTGGTTGTACCATGCGACGTTCAAGTTCTGGAGCAGACAGCACCTGCACGTGGGACTCAGGCTGGCTCAGCGTTATGAGTTTAGACCTCTTCATGCATGTCACTTAATGAGAGAAGCGGCACCTGAAAGATTAGCCAGAGCCTCAAATTCAATGATGCCAGCCAGTGTCCGCCCTGGGGGCCGTTGCTGAGGCCAGGCAATTCCGATTGGCCTTCGGGGAGCGAGTTAGGACGATACCTACGAGGGGCGGAGGAGGAGAAGGAGGAGAACAATGAGGAGGGCAACCCAAAGGATGATGATGGGAAGGCGGAGGAGGGTGCGTCGGAGGAGGGGGATGGTAAGAAGCGGGACGCTGGATGAGGAGGGAGGCGGAAGGTGGAATTAATAATTCATGGTTATGGTCCATAACCATGAATTATTAATTTGGTCATCTGTCCATAACTTATGGACAGATGACCAAATTGGGTGATGACGAGGGATTGAAAAGGAGGAGGGTGAAAATAGAGGCAGCAGCGAAGAGTGTGGAGCAGAAGGAGGAAGGAATGAGGACAGTGGTATCAGGAAGGATGAGTGAGGCACGTAAGAGAAAGCCGGAAAGAGGACGGATTCGGAAGCGGGAGGGTTAAAGGGTTGAAGGGTCTGTATTTCAGTGCGTCCGCGGTCTCTGATTGGCTGATCGTGATGTTGTAGTTATAGTCTTGCTCGTCCTCCTTGTCTCAGTATCTACGCACACATCGTACTTGCAGGCCAGTCGGATTTTATATTTGATATCTATGGTGTTGCCAAGCTCGTCACCCGTGCCCGTTACGAGCTGGTCGTCGATGTGGTTGCGCAGCAGGCCTATCAGCTTGCCGCTGTTGTTCCTCAATGTGAATTTGCAAGGCTCGGGAAGCGACTCTTTTCAACCATGCTCAGCGAAGTCGGCGCGTATTTGCACTTAGTCGCAACTGACGCCAAGCGTCCTTCGTGCCGTAGATGGCCCAGCGTTTTCATGCAGACCCTTCCAGGTATTCCAGGCGGTGGCGGTCGCAGAACCTTGAGGAGCAGCGTTCTCTCGATTCCTTCTGGCTGCAAGTAGGCGGCCACGTCAGCCGCAGCGATCTTCCACTGATACCATGCTGCTTCGCACTTGGCATATTCGAACGACTACGCAGCTCTTGGCTCCCTGCTAGACCCATTACAACACTTTCGCTGCAGCATTTCAATATATAGCCCCTCAACAACGTGTAGGATACTTGATTTTTAGTGCATGATTTTAACTTTATCCCCAAAGTTCCCCCGTCATCATGATAACGTGCCCGCCCGAATCATGGAGTATGAGAAGGGTCCGCTAACCATTACGCCTGGCTGGACTGAACATCTGCGAACAAGTTCCGAGAGGTAACTGCACTCACGGTCTTGGGTTTTGCCAGCAAGTTACGGGCTGGTAGGCGAGATGATTGTTCCAGCATTGGAGCTGATGGTTTCGAGTTCTTCGGATAATGTGCAACCCCATCGGTTGCATCATCTAGGTTGCATCCCATGAATCGCACCACGTATGTTGCATCGCAGGTGTTGCAAAATGCAGATTGTAACACTTATGCTGCACCAGACACATGGAAAACCACAGTGGTTTCACGTCGAGAGTGCAGCAGCCCACTGTTCGGGGCCAGCGCCGGGGCAAGCGGTGTACCAGTTAAACCTTAGGAGGAGGCGGGCGGGAAGGCAGGAGCGGATGGGGGTGGAGGGAGAGAGGATGAGGGAGGGAGGGAGGCGTGGGAGATAGGACGCGGACCCGACGGAGGACGACGAAGAGGTTACGCGTGCAGGAGGACGAGGAGCTGGTCTGGACAGGCGGCCGCCCTCCGAGGCTGGAGCCCATCACCGTCCAGCTCCCCGGGCCCGCCAGCGCCGACGGCTTCGGCTTCGTCACGGGGAACGGGAGCTCCGACTACGAGCCTGTGAAGTGGAAGTTCAGGGGCTCCTTCGACGGGGTGAGGTGGACCACCCTGCACGCTCAGGAGGCGAGCGGCGGGGTTGACGGTCAATGGCGATGACGTCATCGTCATCGTCATCGATTTCGACGTCCGCTCGCCCCCCGCAAGAGAACGGGCACGCCCGGTCGTGCCGATGTCATGGCAAGATTCCAATTCGGGCGTCTTTGCCGAGATGTCGGCCCCTGAGAAGGGCCGGTTTCGGGCCGCGGGGCCATCACAAACGAGCCGCGGAGAAAAAACTGTCCCATGGCTGGAATCGATCGTCCTTTGGGCACACGTAGGGGTGAGGACACGACGTCGGAGGCCTGAGTTGGCCTCAAGGACCCAAGGAGGCCAGCAAAAAGGGACAGTAGCACGAATTAATGGCAGTTGCACGGATATGAACCGCAGGGACAAGGACGAGGAGCAGGAGAGGGTGGTTGAGGAGTGGGCGAAGAAGACGATGTATGAGAAGCAAGTGCGAATTCTTCCCACTTCCTGCGCTTGTGTGAAGGCGCCTTCAATTTCCAGAGGCTTTCCTGAATCCCTATGTTTTCTCCTTTTGTATTGTCCAGTCCTGAATCCCCTTGTTTTCTCCGTTCGGGGCGACACCACCTATATTCAATGTTTGACGCTTCGCGTATCCCCACCAGAGTGCACGACCGCCCGGCCTCTCAGACGCCCTGGGTTGCCGCCCCCCTCGCCGCCTGATCCGCGGCTCCCTCGCGCGCCCGGGAATTTAGTCGCGGCCGCAGCCCGACCGTGACTGTTCGCCGCCGGCACTTCCGCCTGCGGATGTAAAACAAAAAAAGTATCCCCACCAGCGTCCGTAGCCTGGCTCAAGCCTGGCTCAAGCCGCTCTGGCTCGAACTGGCCTCACCGGCTGGCCGGCCGTGGCCGGGTTCCTGCCCCTCGGTCTTCGGCCTCCCCGCCCGCGGGGGCGTGCGAGGGGTTCGCCCCCCTCCGCGCCCCCGTTCGCTCGGCCATGGAGTCGCGCTCGGCGCGGCGGCGGCGGCAGCGGCATTCCGCCGCCTGCTGCGCCGCCGCCGCGGCCGCCCCGGCCGGCCTCTTGCCGCCGGGGCCCGGCGTGGCCCCTGGCTGCCTCGGCGTGGCTGGCGGCGCCGCCGCCGCGGCCGCCGCCGCCGCCGCCGCGGCCGTGGCGGCGGCCGGCCGCGGCGAGGCCGCCGCGGCCGCCGGCGCTGTGGCGCGCGCTGCTGCTCTGGGGCCAGCCGCGGCTGCCGCGACCGCCGCGGGTGCGGCGGATGCCGCTGTGGCCGCCGCGGCCGCAGGTGCCGCCGCTCCTGCCGCCGGCTTCCCCGCCGCGGCCGCCTTCGGGGCCGATGCGGCTGCGAGGGCCGGGCCGGCTGGCGGTGGCCACGCCACGGCGGAGCAGGTGGAGGAGCTGACGCAGCAGCAGCAGCAGCTGCGGCCGCTACAGCAGCAGCAGCAGCAGCAGCAGCAGCAGCAGCAGCAGCAGCAGCAGCAGCAGCAGCAGCAGCAGCAGCAGCAGCAGCCACAGGTGCCGCAGCAGCGGCAGCATCTGCAGCAGCAGCAGCAGCGATTGCACATGTCCGCCGCTGCCGCCGCCGGCGCCGTCACCGGCGCTGCCCTGCGGCGGCAGCGGGTTGCTGCTGCCGCCCGCGGGCCGTCGTGGCTGGCCGCCGCCGCCGCTGCGCCTGCGGCGGCGGCTGGTGGCGGTGGCCTGCCCGCCTGCGCTCGCCGCGGCCGTCGCTGCCGCCGCCGCCGCCGCGGCCGCCTCGGGCGGGCCGCTAGCGGCGGCCGCCGCGGCTGGCGTCGCGGCTGCCGCGGCCTCCCTGCCCGGTGGCGGTGCCGCCCCTGCCGTCCTCGCCGCTGCCGCTGCCACTGCCGCCGTTACTGCCGCTGCCGGCTCGTCGCCGGCGGCGGCGGCGGCGGACGGCACGGCGGCCGGCCTCCCGGTGTCCGGCAGCACTGGCTCTACTGGGGGCGACTGGGCGCCGTACACTGGATCCCCGCTGCGCGTCATCGAGAACTCGTTGGACGCTCTAGCCCCAGCGGGCCCCTGGGACCCTGCTGGCTTCACAGCGGATGGCAGCGCGGACACATCCGCCCGCCCAGTATGGTTCTGGTGGTGGTTTTGGTTTTGGTTCTGGTTCTGGTTCCGGTTCCGGTTTTGGTTCCGGTTTTGGTTTTGGTTCCGGTTCCGGTTCCGGTTCCGGTTCTGGTTCCGGTTCCGGTTCCGGTTTTGGTTCCGGTTTCCTTCTTTTTGCGGGGCTGGAAAAGGCCCCTTTGGTGACGGTTCCGGTTCTGGTTTTGGTTCTGGTTTCCTTTTTCTTCCAGGCCTGAAAAAGACTTTCAGGTTTTGGTTTTGGTTCCGATATCGGTTCCGGTTCCGGTTTCCTTCTTCTTCGGGGCTTTGAAGAGCACCTTCCAAGTAACGGTTCTGGTTCTGGTTTTGGTTCCGGTTCCGGTTCCGGTTTCCTTTTTGTTTTCGCCTCGAAGAAGACCACCCTGGTCACGGTTCCGGTTTCGGTTCCGGTTCCGGTTCCCTTGTTCTCTTGGCCTCGAAGAAGACCTCCTGGTCACGGTTCTGGTTCTAGTTCCGGTTATGGTTTCGGTTTCCTTCTTCTCTTGGCCTCGAAGAAGACTCCCTGGTCACGGTTTCGGTTTTGGTTCCGGTTCCGGTTCCGGTTTCTTTCTTCTTCTCGCCCCGAAGAAGGCCCCCCAGGTCACGGTTTCGGTTTTGGTTCCGGTTCCGGTTCCGGTTTCTTTCTTCTCTTGGTTCGAAGAAGACCCTTTTGGTCACGGTTTTGGTTCTGGTTTCGGTTCCGGTTCCGGTTTCTTTCTTCTTCTGTCTTCGAAGAAGACCCCCCAGGTCACGGTTCCGGTTTTGGTTTCGGTTCCGGTTCCGGTTTCCTTCTTCTCTTGGTTCGAAGAAGACTCTTTTGGTCACGGTTCCGGTTTTGGTTTCGGTTCCGGCTCCCGAAGAAGACCCCCCAGGTCACGGTTCCGGTTTTGGTTCCGGTTCCGGTTCCGGTTTCCTTACCTAACAGCGAAGACTAATAGGTTTCTAGTAGGGTCAAAGGAGAGCATCATGACACCCCAGGCGGGTCTGGGCGCGATCCGGGGGAGGGTGCTGGGGACTTTTTTTTGACCCAACAATTACACGCCTCGTGGTCTGTGGTCTTCGAGGTCCCAGAACTCCGTTCCCGGGAATGATTCTGAATGCCCGGAGCCAACTGTAGGCCACTTCTTGGTCTTCGAGTTCCCAGAACTCCATTCCCGGGCCACATTCTGAATGCCCGGAGCCAACTGTAGGCCACTTCGTGCTCTTCGAGTTCCCAGAACTCCATTCCCGGCAGTATGGTTCTGGTGGTGGTTTTGGTTTTGGTTTTGGTTCCGGTTCTGGTTCCGGTTCCGGTTTTGGTTCCGGTTTTGGTTTTGGTTCCGGTTCCGGTTCCGGTTCTGGTTCCGGCCCGGGCCACATTTTGAATGCCCGGAGCAGGCTGATGCTGAGGCTGAGGCAGGCTGAGGCTGAGGCTGAAGCAGGCTGAGGCTGAGGCAAGCTGAGGCGGAGGCTGAGGCTGATGCAGGCTGAGGCTGAGGCTCATGCAGGCTGAGGCTGCGGCAGGCTGAGGCTGAGGCTGAGGCTGAAGGCAGACTGGGGCTGAGGCTGAGGCAGGCTGAGGCTGAGGCTGAGGCAGGCTGAGGCTGAGGCTGAGGCAGGCTGATGCTGAGGCAGGCTGAGGCTGAGGCTGAGGCTGAGGCAGGCTGAGGCTGAGGCTGAGACTGAAGGCAGACTCAGGCTGAGGCTGAAGCAGGCTGAGGCTGAGGCTGAGGCTGATGCAGCTGAGGCTGAGGCTGAGGCAGGCTGATGCTGAGGCAGGCTGAGGCTGAGGCTGAGCAGGCTGAGGCTGAGGCAGGCAGGCTGAGGCCGAGGCTGAAGGCAGACTGAGGCTGAGGCTGAAGCAGGCTGAGGCTGAGGCTGAGGCAGGCTGAGGCTGAGGCTGAGGCAGGCTGATGCTGAGGCAGGCTGAGGCTGAGGCTGAGGCTGATGCAGGCTGAGGCTGCAGGCTGAGGCTGAGGCCGAGGCTGAAGGCAGACTGAGGCTGAGGCTGAAGCAGGCTGAGGCTGAGGCTGAGGCAGGCTGAGGCTGAGGCTGAGGCAGGCTGATGCTGAGGCAGGCTGAGGCTGAGGCTGAGGCTGATGCAGGCTGAGGCTGAGGCAGCTGAGGCTGAGGCCGAGGCTGAAGGCAGACTGAGGCTGAGCTGAAGCAGGCTGAGGCTGAGGGGCAGGCTGAGGCTGAGGCTGAGGCAGGCTGATGCTGAGGCAGGCTGAGGCTGAGGCTGAGGCTGATGCAGGCTGAGGCTGAGGCAGGCTGAGGCTGAGGCCGAGGCTGAAGGCAGAGAGGCAGGCTGATGCTGAGGCAGGCTGAGGCTGAGGCTGAGGCTGATGCAGGCTGAGGCTGAGGCAGGCTGAGGCTGAGGCCGAGGCTGAAGGCAGACTGGGGCTGAGGCTGAAGCAGGCTGAGGCTGAGGCTGAGGCAGGCTGAGGCTGAGGCTGAGGCAGGCTGAGGCTGAGGCAGGCTGAGGCTGAGGCTGAGGCTGAGGCTGAGGCTCAGGCTGAGGCAGGCTGAGGCTGAGGGCGAGGCTGCAGGCAGACTGAGGCTGAGGCTGAAGCAGGCTGAGGCTGAGGCTGAGGCAGGCTGAGGCTGAGGCTGAGGCAGGCTGATGCTGAGGCAGGCTGATGCCGAGGCTGAGGAGGAAAAGGATGGTAATGATGACGAATACGGCTTTGGCTTTGTTGAAGATCATCACCCAATATTCAACGGACTCTGCGTCCAAAGGATCACCCAGTACTCAAAAGACTCCGTCTCCAAGACAGTACCGTGTGCTCAACAGACTCCGTGTCCAAGAAGGCGCCCAGTACTCCACAGGCCCCGCTGCCAGAGAGCACCCGCTACTCAACATACTCCGTCTCCGAGAGAGCACCCTCAGGTCACGGTTTCTGGTTCCGGTTCCGCTTCTGGTTCCGGTTCCCTTTTTCCTCGGGGCCCCAACGAAAACCTT